CTGGAACAAGTCTCGCGTGTCAGCAGTCCTGGATGTGCCCGGAAGGGCAGCCAAAACGTCCTGGCAGCCCCTGGTGCTGCTGTCAGCAGTGGGGGGGGACACGTTGTCCCCAAAGGGGGTCCTGGGCTCAGGCGAAGATGGTTTCCTCCCGTCGCTTCTTGGTGAGGATAGTGCCGGGCTTGTGCTGTGCGTCGGGGTGGTTGGCCAGCTCGGGCGGGCAGGAGGACACGGGGCTCTCCAGGATGGCCTGCTTCAGGTCGTAGAACACACTCGAGTCCTCCTTGGTGAGGAAGGTGATGGCGACGCCGCTCTTGCCCGCACGGCCCGTGCGCCCAATGCGGTGGATGTAATCTGAAAGGGGGATGGTCAGGCACCCCATAGCCCCCATTGCACCCTATAGCCCTCTGCTGCTCCCCAAAACTCACCCTCGATGTTCTTGGCCATGTCATAGTTGACCACCATGGAGACATCATGGATGTCGATGCCACGTCCAGCCACGTCGGTGGCCACCAGGATGTCCTTGGCCCCAGCCTTGAGGTTGGAGAGGGCGAACTCCCGCTGCTCCTGGCCTTTGCCACCATGCAGGGTGCAGGCATTGTACTGCGGGAGGGAAGGGGGGGGTCAGGCAGGGCCTGGAGGCCCCCTGTGGGGTCCCTGTGGACAAGGGGGACATGAAGCGGGGAGGGCCTGGCCCAGACTCACCCCCATCTTCTCCAGAGACTTGGCCAGCACATCGCAGCCCTTCTTCTGGTTGACAAAGATGATGATGGGGGGGTCGAAGCCCTGCTCCAGGATGGCCAACAGCTTCTTCCTGTTGTGGAGAAGACCAATTGGGCTGAGGAGCTTATCGCAGAGCTCCCTCATCCTCAAATGCCCCTGAGCACCCCTGAGACCCACCCTCCTGCTCCAGCAGCCCCATCCTCACCTCTTCTCCGACTCGGACATGAGGAAGACCTTCTGCTCCACCCGCTCGTGGTGTTTGCCAGCGGAGCCGATGTAGACCCCAGCGGGGCGGCGTGGGGGTGGCCGGCGGAGCCGATGTAGACCACAGCGGGGCGGCGGAGGTAGCTGCGGGCCAAGCGCTCCACGGCTGGCGGCATAGTGGCTGTGAACATGACGGTCTGTGGGAGCACAGGGCAGGGAGCAATGGTCCCGTGAGGGCAGAAATGGGGCTGCTGCTCCCAGAGACCCTCTGCTCCCCACGGCGCTGCCCCTGCCAGCACCCACCTGCCTGTACTTGTGCTTCCCTGACTCGAAGTTGGCCAACATCTTCTCGGGGTCCTCAGCCTCATCCGTGTCTGGTTTCTGGTTGGTGACGGGCATGTGCTCCAGGATCTTCTGCACGTCAGGCTCGAAGCCCATGTCAATCATGCGGTCCGCCTCATCCAGCACCACGTATGTGCAGCGGCTCAGCACCAGGTACCGGTTCTCCAGCACATCAATGAGACGTCCTGGGGTGGCGATGACGATCTGGGGGGGACC